GGGAAAAAAAAAATATATATATATATATATATATATATATATATAATTTATTTTTTTTTAATATGAAGAGTTCTCCTTTATATTATTTGAAAGAATGTGAATGTATTTAGCATAATGAGGTCCTGCTTCTGACATGCTCCATCAATTCCAGTCCTTTCTAAATCAGTTTTGCTGCATGCAAGCATGTATATACAATGGATTAATGGACATTGAATTAGCATAAATATACACACAAAATTTGATAGAAAAAAGAGCGAGAAATATACAAAATAAAGCAATCATTTTAATAAATTGATGTATTTGCAAAATATGTTTCCGCCAACGGTCCAAATATGCATTTTCACTCGCTTTTTTCTTATGAGGTTTTGGTCAGCAGTTTATTCGGAGTCAGCAGACAGGCCAATCTCATTTTCAATTTTCAGTTTTAGTGCGCTTTAATGGAATGACAGTATGAAATTGTGCAATGCAAATTAAAGTATAATCCCAATAGTGCCAGTAAACAAGTGATATCAACCAATGAAACTGACAAACAGTGATGCAAATAAATAAATATATAAACAAGCAGAATAATAATAACACAAAAGAAACTCTCTCTTCTCTAATACAGCAACATTAGAGGATGAAACGATGCTTTTTTGCCTGTCCTTTTTCAGGTTGTTATGCAACAGCGAGCGCCAGACTGAGTGAGTACGGTGAAGAAGTGAAGAGGAAAGACAGCAACACATCCTCCTCCAGTCCTGAGTCACGCAGGTATAGAGTCATTTTAATCATCCAACACCACAAACATCACCATGGGGAAAAAAAATAATAATCAAAGGAGATAGAATTGAAACACAAGGCTTGTGGATCCAGCAGTAAGTACTGTCAAAACTTACCATCAAATATGGTACTGTTAAATTATCTTTTGAACCTCCTAGGAAGTGGAACATAAGATTTGAATTGCATTCTCACTCAGACAGTGTTTTCATATCTCCAGCTATATGACAGTATGATACAAATACTGACAGACCTTGCTGTGAAACAACACCAATGGTAATACTTTCATTGGGCTTCATAATCCTAATTATGAATCTGTATGTGTGTGTAAGAGCTACAGCAGCAATATTAGCACACCGCTTATGAGCCCCTCTGGGTTTATTGTGTCATGTTAGTCGGCAAATGAAAACAACACCCTGTTTTCAGTCATATTTTAATAAGCAGTGAATAGTTTTCATCGTTAGAAGTTAATGGTATTTATAACTGGCTCAGAGTATGTCTTGAATATTTTGATGACAACCTGTTTGGACAAACTCAATTTCCATTTATATCTTGACTGGTTTTTGAATGGGTTTCAGAAAAATGTATATGCCAGTAAATGATCGTGGACTGATTTAAGATGTATTCAACTTTGGCGCAACCTCCTGCTGCTTCTTCCATTTTCTCGAAATGTGTGTTTTTATTACTCAGTATGTGTCTGTACTGCCATGTCAAATATCATAGATTTTGACAAATCAGTTTAAAGCTAAGACAATCTACCTGACCAGAGCCTGTGTGACTTTATTAAACTCGCAGCAGGTGAAATATGGAAAATGGACCTCTGGGATGAAGGCTGACTTCGACATTGCTTGATTTCATGAATATCTGTTCCCTTTCAGTCGGTCACTACAAGTCACGTCGTGACCGACGAATTGGGATATCGCTTCGATAGACCAATCTACTTCGAGTGTAAACTAAACGAGCAAATGCACATCGGCATGCAATTATTGCATCCAGCTGCCGCTGATCACAGCGTGAGTATAATAAGGCAGCAGGTGCAATGCATACCAGCTTTTCGCTTTGGAGCCGAGCGACAACATCGTTCTGCTCTATGTTATTTCAAGAACTACGAGTTCAGCAAGCTCTCGGAAGCTTTCTGTGTTGGCGGGACGGCGCTTCAGTGGTGGTCGTTCCAGTGTCGAGTGGGTTGCGCACTTCAGGCTGCACTACCCCCTGTCGTGTTGCAAAGCGGCCATCTCCCCTGTGCACCTCACCACCAAAAGAGCATTTCCTTAAAGAGCA